GGGGAGTGCGAGGTCAAGATATTCCTATCGGTAAAACAGAGTTAAAACTAATTGAAGCGGCAAGTGAAGGCATTCCTCTCGACCGATTTTCTGGTCACTTTGACAAACACTTTCTGGAGGAGGAAATACTAACCCATAAATTGTTGTTTGGGAATATGGATGAGTATTTTGTCACCGGGCCTCATGGTAAGGGACGCTTAGAAAGTTTGCTACATTTAAGTAAATTATTTGAAAGGAACATTAGGTTCACAATGAAATTAGAAGATAATTGGTCCTTATTATTGGATGTTTTGATCATTAAAGAAGAAGGAAAGTTTGGAAGAAATGTTTATAGGAAAGCAAAGTATGTTAGAATTTTCTGAATTTACTATTCAACCTTAGTTACTAAGGTTAAGTTGGAACTTAGGAGTCAAGGCTTATTTGGAGTGTGAGACCAATTGAAAGCAACTATCTTAGTAAAGCGTTGGAATAACTGAAAGATTTGTTTCTGAAAAATAAATTTTAAGACAGAGACTAGTAAGTCAAAGATAGACAAGCTGAGACCTTTACTTATGGCCTAATTTTGCCTCAATGGCTTCCTTCTAAGAAGACGGAAGTGGAGAATAAAAACAGTGTACAAAGAAACCCCTACAATTTCTTAGGTTATGCTATCCTTTAGAGAGAAATATGACCCATTATCGAGATCCGGCTGCTACAAGATTGTTTGCTCATGTAGTCGATGTTATGTTGGCGAGACATGCCGACTTATTCGACAAGGCTTGGGAGAACACAAAAGTGCTTGTAAAGGAAGCTGGGTCCAACGGTCAGAAGTGGCCGAACACATAGTAGAAACTGGACATGAAATAGAATGGGCTCAAACTAGTAGGTTTGCTGATTACGGTACATATGTGTTTAAAAGAAAGATAAGATAGGCTATTGAAATTAATAACTCAGGAAATACGTTGAATGTGAGGAACGGTGGTAGAAAGTTGAGTAGGAACTACTTATGCTTGATTGATACATTGAAGGAGAGAGAAGGTGTTGAGCCAAAGTCCAAAGGAAGGCGACTGAACTGGTCTGTAGATACGAAGAGAAACTGGGTTTCGATGAATCTCCTGAGATAGCATTGTTGTGTTAACGTGAGACT